CAAGTCTGGAGCTCAGCACTCAGCTCTCTTCAGGCAGCTGTGACTCAAACAACTCTGAAGCTGTTTGTTTGCTTGAGAAAGGAGGTGGATGTGTGTCATTTCCTTGCCTAGACACACAAGCATCATTTTAATTTCTTTTTTTTTCTTTCCTGTTCTGTTGGTTTGTTTGTGTTTTGTTTTGTTTTTTAAGGAGACACCAAATCACTTGGGATCTAAAATGCAAAGTGCACCAGAAGGCTGAGGATTTTGAGCATGAAAAGACTGAAGGGACTGAGTTTTTTAGTGGGTCTTCATCTGAAATCCTAAAAATTCCAAGAAGTACCTGAAATGTCAAGGCACTTAAAATTGTCCTTGGATTGCACAAGGATGAAGCAGTCAGAGAGCCTTTCAACCTAGTCATGAAACTGTGAAACGTGGGAAGGAAATACGGCTCAGAGTGTGGGGCTGAAGGAACTGCAGCAGAAGAGACGTCAAGGAAGAGCAAGTGAGTGCTTGGCAGAGGTGGAAGGAATGTGTCCATCCCTGTGGGATAGTTGAGGCTCACCCATTCTGTGATTCTGTCCCTCAGCTTCCCCAGTAATCAGCGGGAAATGCTGTGTGCAGCAAACAGATCACAATCCTGTGAGGCCCTCTCTGGTATTTCTTATCAGTTCTGCCAAAAATGTCTGCCAAAAGTCAATTTAAAATTGTTTCCATAGCTGTGTCTTTATAATGGGGTCATTAATTATCCTCCATGTTGTTTATGAAACAATTCTAGTGATTTTTAGATTTGGCCTTTCCATGCTGACATCTGTGCTCCAGAGATATATTCACTATCACTCTGCTGCCCCTGAGTTCCACCTGGGCAGAGTGTGGCTCAGGTGAGCTCCCTGGAGATGCAGACCCTCTCCCCAGCAATCACAGCAGACCAGGGCCTGAAGGTTTTGCTCCAGAATTTCAGAGGTGAAACATGCCCAAGTTTTTAACTTAAGAGACAGGGATAGAGATAAGGATTGTACTTAGCTGGTGAGGGTTCAGGCTGGTTTGTCTAAAAAAGTACCTTTCTATCCACAAGAAAGATACTGCCTGTCATCAAAGACTTTATAACCTGAAATGCTGATTTGAATAGGAGAGGGTCTGTGCCCATAGCTGTGCCAGCATTGCTATACCTGTTATATTACACCACCAGGTGTAAATACTAAAGAGAAATAAAGAGAATACATCAAGCATTATCTGGGAGGAAGTGTAGCAAAAACAGAACATCTCCCAAGGGACCTTGGTACACTGTGAGGTAAACACAGCACATCCTTCAATAAGCATATGAGTCTGTAGTGTGAGCTAAATGATCATTCTCTGTGAATAAATAGGACAGGCCTGGATCTGAGCACTGCACATGGTCATCCTCTTCATTAGGCTGCTGATGGACACCGTGCCCGTGTTCAGAGTTACCAGAGCCAACATTTCTCCTTACACCCCTTGGTCTAAGCCACCATGTCCTCAAAGAGAATGTCTCTCCCAGCTTCCACCAAGAGGTATTCAAGGTGCATTTTCTCAGGAAGAGAGCAAGTACAATATCATGGTAGTGCCTTCAGAGTAAGGAATCCTGTAGGAGAAACTTTGTACTTGTCCATCTGCTCACACAGATGATTTTCAGATATAATGCATGAATAGTCCCAGAAAGAGGTTGAAAATTAGGTTCAAAGTCACTTAGATTGTCCCAAAGCTTAGTCAGGGACAGGTGCTGGTTGTCCCTTGTCTTCTGTGCTCTGAATATTCCTCATGGAAGAGTGCATACACCTCCTTCCTCAGTATGATGCTGGTTCACGTATTTTGAAAGAAAAGAGTGGATTGTATTTCTAAGAAAATGAGGTCCCTCTCTTGACAGGGTGCAGAATATGGATCCCAAATGGATAAAGGCTCAGGCTAACAGCTCTAGGAAGGTGTTTCACCACCTTGTGTAGGTGAAGTTCATACAGTTCTTTCTGCTCTTCCCACAGAAACCTGGTGTTCCTGGACTGCACACAGAGGACCTGCTCCTTGTCTGCAGAGCCCAAGTGCCCAGCACTGATGATGGATTTCTCTGTGAGCTGTGGGGTTACATTGCTGTGATAATGACACACTTCCATCATCTCCTGAGCTTGTAGTGCTGCAGGGATGCTGAAATGGCTGGCTGGATGCAGCCAACACAAACCACAGGTCTACAGCCCAAACCAAAGTGTGTTGTGCAATCTTTGTAGGAAATGACACAATTCACTCACAAAGCACTGTCTGAGCATATGGAGGAGTTGTTGGGCACTGACTGAGCAAACACACTACTGTTGGCTCCTCTCTGCCCCATCAGTTCCTCTGTTGATTGTTGAGATGTTGAATGCCCATTGGAACAGCTGAAGTTCCTGAATGTTGTCTTTATTGCCCCGAGGCCAGGGTAGGAAGGAGAGGTGGCTGGATCACAGAGAACTTGCCCTGTGTGTTTGTGTGTGTGTTTGTGTCTCACATGGGCCTGAGAAACACAGACCATGCCCTGGTTTATCTTGCACTATTGTACCACTTACTGTGACATTATGCTATTCCAGGCAGGCAGTATTTTGCAAAAATCAATAATCATGTTAATTAATAATGACTAAAACCTTCAGAGACTTTTTTTTAAGAGATATCAAGGTACTTGGCAAGCATAGGAATAATTCATGCTCCTATATCCTCATATTAACTCAAAATAGAAGAAGGAATAGGAACATTTGCTTATTTCCTACCAATGGCAACAGAAAAGATGAGTGAACCTTGTGTGGTTTATTTTCAGAAAAGGCCTGGCATTCCAGGCTCGACTGGATGCAATATTGACAGTCCATTTTATTCTCTTCTTTGCTCTAACTTCTGTGAGACAGGGCTCCTCCTGGGTCTGTATTTCAGTGCTTTTGATACTTTCCTGGATTAGACTTCACAGATTTCACTAAGGGAGGTGACTCATGATCCCTATCTTCACATTTGGCAGTGTGCTGGAGCAATCAAAAGGAAGAACTGCACTACTGTAGAGAGAAGTCTGTGTATGAAGGCAGAATTAATGAAACTTCTCCAGAATCTTCTGCTAGTGTGTGACACTGTCTCCTTTCCTCTTACCTACTTGTGCAACATCTTCTTTTATTTTACCACTCTGGTATCACAACAGGAGTTCTTGGAGATTGGAATGTCAATGAAACAAGCAAGCCATGGTGTATAAGTGAGACATTTGTTAAGGTGAAATATCGGCTACTTCTGCTGAATCCCAAAACCATCATTCAGTAGATCCTGAAATCTAGGCCGAACAAAATTGTTTCTCATGCATGTTTCAGATAAAATGACTGGGCACAGCACACAAAGCTACAAACACAGAAGAAAATTGAAAAAAATAATAGATGAGAAATCACAGAAACATTGAAACATTCAGGTTGAAAGGGAGCCCTAGCTGCCATCTAGTCCAAGTCTTTCCTCAAAGCAGGGCCAGCTATATGAGTTTCTCTGGACCTTGTCTAGGTTTTTACTGTCTTCCAGGATGGAGATTTCCCATCCTCTGCCTTGCCCAGTGCTTGTCAGTTCTCCTAGTAATTTTTCTTAGTAGGTGAGCTTCTCACTCTTCTACTTGTGTCCATTGTGTTTTGTCCTATTGCTGTGCACCTCCAGGAAAGGTCTGACTGCATCTTCCAATACCCTGCCACAAGGTCCAGGAAAGAGAGCAGGAAAATCACCCTCAGCTTTTGCTGTTCAAGGCTGAAAAAGCCCAGTTCCCCTGTACATCATGTTCTCCACATGCCCACCCATCCTATCTGCTGAATCTCCTCCTTTCCAGGCCTTTTTGAATCAAGGATAGCCAAGTCCAGTTGAACAATGACCCACTGTCCAAATTGTGCCCTACTAGAGAGAAGATCTGCATTGAGGTTATTGGGGCATTGTCAGAGCTCCAAAATGTTCCTCCAGAACCAAAAATTTCTAAAATGCAGCAGTCTCTGGATCCAAAGTGCTCATGAGTGTGGCTGCCAAAGTAGTTCTAAATTTCTCCTCATTGTACTTATTGCTACAGGAACATTGCTGGCATAACATTTTCTCCTGGAGTCTCTCTAGAGCACCTGCTTCATTCACTGTGTGTGCAGGCATCAGCCAGGACAGATGCTCGGGGAAAGAAAGAGCTGAAACCCCAAAGCTCACAGAGCTGACGCCCTTTATCAGAAAAGAGGCCACCCATGTTCTTGTTTTAAATGAGGAGGCAGGAAAAAATCTTTGAAGAAGAAGCAGCTTCCTTAAAGTGTTTAAGGAAACCCTTTCCAGAGAGAATATTAAAAATGCATGGGTGGAGTGAGAGAGAAAGAATTCTTATTTATGTATAAAGTTACACATGGAGACAATGTCCAAAATTACTGAAAAAAAAGAGTCTGTGTGTCTCTGTTTTCCTGAATTATGACAGCATGTGTTTAGTATTATGGCTTGTCCATTATAGGAGCCAAAGTTAACATCTTCCAAAGCATAAGGGTTTTTTTGTATTTTTTAAAGCTCAGTTGAATTCCAGCACTTCAAACCTACTTAAACATGGCATAATAAAAAGCTCTGGAAACTCTTTATTTATAGTTTTCTGTAGTTGAAACAATTATGCAATCGGATAAGCAATCAAGTCAGTTCAAATTAGTGAAATTCTGCATTACTGGGCAGGACAAATTACATTTGATACTGGAGAAAAAAGCAATATAATAAATGTAGTGGAGTTTTTTTCCCAGTAAGAAAGGACAGCCACACAGGCCTAGTCCAAAGGGGTCTTGCTGCAGCTTAAGGAAACAAACCTGAATACTTCATGGGATGATGCATCATGCACATCTTACAGCACAGAGCTGCCACAGGACAGCTGGATGCAAGGAACTGGTGGCTGGGGAGGGGGTCTTTGGAGGCTTTTCACAGTTCTTGCACCCCAGTGTACAACATTCCAGTCACTGAGGGTGCTGTCTGTGGGTTTTGTGTGCTCACAGTGCACATAAAACTGTGCTGGAGTGAGCAGGCTCTGGAGGCAGCAAAGGGGAGATAGTTTGTGTCTCCCCATCCTGTCTTTTCAAGCAATCCATCCATCAGATCAGCAAGATGGTAAGGCACATATGTGCTTCCCAAATGGCTTAAGTCACTTGTCTTTAACTCAAACCTCTTTTTGTTTGTCGAGTAGGAGCTTTCACTTTTAACAAGATCTCTTCAAACCGAGCTGCTGGGAGCTGCGAGTGTGGATGTTCTGTTCGGGACTTTCTGTGGAGCTGCTGCTACAAACAGCATAAAAAGGAAGGTTGTAGAACTGTTGTTTTAAGGAGTATTTCTTATGCAGGAAAGGGCATAAAGCTAAAACCTCCCAAAAAATCAGTCTTCCCAAGTCCTATCTCTGCTGATGGTCTCGAGCTCTGAGCTGGCTGGTAGTGGCAGGTCCTTGCTGTGGTGCTGAGCTCTCAGGAGCTGCAGATGAGACACTGTGGGAGCAGCAAGGCATGGGCAGGACAAGCTCAGTCTCCTGCTGGTTCTGCCAGGACCAGATTTTCTGCCATGGTCTTCAGTTCAGGACTAACAGATAGGGATCCTTTTTTCAGGTAGTAGTTGCCTAAGAAGATATAATAGTGCTATGCATTGTTGACACTGGGTGTATCTTTAATGATTTTCTTGTCTTAGGGAATTAAAGACAAGGGTCAGGACAGTGCAGCACTTCATAATGCCTGGAGAAGGGGACCACTGAAAGCAAGACCTATGATCCTGTCCAGAAGTCAGCTCTGGCAGGACAAGGAAAGCACAAAGCTGGTGGAGTTTCTCACCTCATTCCTCCCTCGTCCAAGGACAGTTAATTCCATATGGTTTAAAGCAGGAAAATTGAACAAGAAGCAAAAAAAGCCCCTTAATTAAAACCTGAGGGATTCAGCACAGACTCAGTGCCACCCAGTGTCAGCCAGAGTTCCCATCCATCCATCCAAGCTCAATTTCCTGCAATTTGTTTCATCTCACCAAAACAGTGAATAACAAATTACCTTCTCAGATAGCACAGAGAGATAGCCATAATTCCACAGCAATTGGAAACAAATATTACTGAGGACTCCTTGGGCAAAGAGCAACACAAGCACAGAGAATTCTGGTGGTTTCTTACATGAGCACTGCAGTTCAGCTTTTCAGTCCATCAGAATGAGGAAAACACTGATTTGTTAACTTGATTGATACTGACATTGTCCAGGCTTCCAAGTATCTAGAAGCTGATAGGCAATTTGTACAGCTTCTTTTATCTGACTGATCCAAAATATTTTCCAGAGTTTAAGGGGAAAAGATGGCCAGATCCAATTTCTATAATATTTTCAGAGAACTGACAGAAGAGACAAGCCCAATAAAACTTAGGCACATCCTTTTTCTTCACATAAGGCAAGGAGAATGCAAATCACAGGAAAAAGCATGAATTTTCAATGTTTTGAGAGCTGGATGGAACAGGTAATCTCCATGCAATGAGCCAAGGAAAAGAGAGGAGAACATGTTTTACTACAGATCATCACCACAATGGCATAGACTTCTGTGAAAGAAGAGTCACCTCACTTCAGTGTTTTCCTGGTTCTCAGTTTTGGCCCTTGAGTTTTACTTGTTCACACTTTTTTTGCCATTACATTCTCTTCACCTCACTCTAAAGACTCAGTATGAAAATACTTTTGACAGCCTGCTTGCTCTGCAGGGATGTTTGGGTTGGTACAGTATTAGTTGCTTTCTCTCTTTGGTATTTATAATATTATTAACCCTGCACTTACCTGGCCACCATTCTCCAGTGTTACTCATATTTTGCAGTGGGACCTTGGATACACATAGGTGAAGTTCCTTCAGGAGGATAAAATCAGAAGTTTTGTAATTCTCACTGTTTCTCAAGCCCAGTTGCAAATCCCCCCATTCCCCATGCAGTCAGAGACAACTCCAGATCTAAAAGCCTTACAAGATCTTGTAGATTTGATTAAGTAGCTTAAATAGACACTAAGATGAAGTTTGCAGTGATCTTCTTGTGAGGCTGCTCAGAGGATGGGAACAAAAACCTCCTCACTAATTTTATCACTTGGACCCCTCTGTGTTTTAGAGGCCCAGCCAGCAGGCAGAGACATTGGAGGAAAGCTAAGCTATCCAAAACTGCTGTGAGGGTCCTGTGAATGCTGTCCAACACTGAGCATCTACCTGTATTTAGGTAACCTATTATAAATCACTTATTTAAGTTACAAAACAACCTTTCCTTCCTTCACTGACTCCTTAGAAGAGCACAAAGCAATAAAACTAGCTGGACTCAGGCCCTTGGTTGAGTTCTCTGCCTTTTCCCTTGGCAGTAAAACCCAGCTATGTGACAAAACCAGCGCTCCTCACTGTGACTGTGTTCCCTACAGCCTGTCACAGCCTGGGAGCAAAGCAGATGAGCAGTGGATTTATTCCATACAAGAGGCACACACACATCTCTCACCCACAGCAGACCCCTCACAGCAACCTTCCCCAGAGGCAAGCCATCAATACAACCTCAATTTCTTTCACAAATAAGCTTATGTTGCTAAATATAAATGCCTGCTAGGTCAGAAAGCCCTCTGACAGTTCTCTCTGACAGAGACAAGAAGCAGATTCCTGGGGGAAGAGGTAGGAAATACAGCATGTACTGAGTTACCTGTTCCCTGCTTATGCCATTCCTGCCTAGATCCCTGCAACCAATGCTTTAGGGACTGATATTATAAGTGAATTATAGGGAACATCTGAATTATCTTATTCAATAGCTCCCAATGGACTTCTTCTCCCTGAGTTTGTTGAAACCTGTGCAGGGTTTTGCCCTCACAACATCCTGCAGCAATGAGTCACGCTTCAGTTATGCATTGTGTGAACGAGTACTTCCCCTTGTTTATTTTAAAATAAATCTGCAACTTGCTCTTTTCACTGGACACTCTTCAGTTCTCATGTATGACAAATAATACCCTGCTGTTCCTCAACCACCTTCTTTTTGTGACTGTAAAAGCCTCTTAATTTCTCCCCTTTAATCATTCCTCATGTTCTTCCCATTTATTGCTATTCAGTGCCCCAATACCAGGAATCCCACAAGGCTAGTGCCCTCAAATGCAATCCAATATTTTCTGCCTGAACTAATAATGGCTCTTATGAAATGGATCAATCACTTTATGACCCAAAGGCAAAAGTACCTGTGAAAAGATAAAAATCCCAGGTGTATCACTTTAGGATGGTGAAAGCTGCAGGAAGACACCCCTCATCTACTTCAAAATGCACCAGTTCTTACACCAAATCAATTTGCTTACTGTAGTTAACCACAGCAAAACTGAGCTCAGCAGGGTGAATCATTTGAACACTGGGGACAGAACTGTGTTTCCTGGCTAAAAAAAAAATACAACACCTTGATTTTGTTTTGTATTATAAGGTATCCTTGGGCATGTTAGTCCAAAGAACAGCTCAGAAGCATTCAAAGGAGATAATTGATGCCCAGTTCTCACCAACATGACTCTGCTAGTCTTTGAGTCACAGAAATACAAGATGTTGGATGTTTGAGGTGTGGAAATGCTACTGAAACCAGACACACCTTTGGGTGGTAACTGGAGCATCCTTTGGCTCGAGGGTTTGCTAAAATAATGGAATGAACCTCATGCAACACCTGAAATGGTTTTGGGCTGTACAAAATTACCTAATTGTCCAACATAGGGCAAGGATTTTTTTATAAGAACAAGCAAATGTTTATTGGCATCTTGTGACTACTAAATGAGCTGGAACACTCTTCTTTCAAAACAGTTTAACAATGCAATCTGTCTGATATGAGTGTGAGACATGGGACTGACTCCATAGGACTGATGTAAAATAAGATTATACCAAAGGAATGTGATAGATGTACAGAAAAACTGTCTGTCCACTATGCCCCCCTATGAGGCAGCTATTCTAACATAACTGGTTTTGCACACTGATTAATATTACAGCCAGGCAGATGAAATCACATGTGTGAAATATGAAAATATTAAATCGTTATAAATAGTGGTAGCTGTAGATGAGCACTTAAATAGTGTCAGAGGTCAGGCAGTGTAAAGTAATCTCCTAACCCTGATGGCCAGGGACTGACAGACTCCAGGTTTGAAGTTTGGTAAAGGAATTTATTCTCCATAAGTGATGGATTGAGGCTACATATCAGCAGCCAGGTCACAGCAGTGAGATAAGGAAATCCAAGGGAATCTGTTACTCATCAAGGGTTTATCTCACTGGACCACAGTGTTGTTACTCCTAATTTGGAAGGGAACTGTGATGCCCAAGCATGCCCAAACACATGTTGTTGTGCTCCAAACAACACAGGCTGTAATACTGAAGTGTCACAGACTGACTTACGGCTGTGAAAAAAAAAATCTGTGATGAACCTACAACTCTTAACTCTTTACCAATGGAAAAAGATGCCATATTGATGTCCTTTCTGCCACAGAGAGATTCCTTAATTCACTGCCCTGGAACACTGCTGCCATCAAGGAGCCCCTGATGATTGGTTGTTATTTTTTTCTCCCTCTACCTTCTTTGGTGGAGAAAGCAATTTTTCTTCTTTCTGAGTTTGGAAGTTTATGGCCTTTGACCCCTGTGTGCTCATGGAGCAGTTCAGGGTCAGCTCCTGGGTGAGGAAGGGGTCCAAGCAAGGGGTACCAGAAGGATGGCTCTGGAGAGCATCACTGCAAACATTTCTGAAGGACACTGAAGGTTGTTGCTGCTGTGTCTGGTGTAGAGCCCTGGCAGCCGATGCAGACGAGCTCTCCTGCTAAACCAAGGGGGTGGCAGGGAGCTATCAGATAACCTTGCTCTACAGCTGCCAGCCCTTGTTCTTTCAGAGAAGGGGCCATTCCCTTAATTCCCTCTTTCCCTTCCCCTTGTCCATCTCTCCTAATTTACCATGCTGGAGGGAAAACTTAGTTTGGTGGGGCTAGAGTTAATTTTCTCTGTAATATCTTGTATGCTTGCGTTCAACCCTGATTGTCTGCAAGCGCTGAGACATGAGAAAGGGAAAACCTGCAGTTCCTCTTGCCTGCCCCTGTACCCCCACACCCTTCCAGATCCTCTGGGAGCTCCTGACATCTCCATGTCACTGCTGGATGAAGTTCCTGCTGTGGGGTGGGATAAAGCATCCATGCCTCCAGCTTACTGGGATTGAGAGCAGCTGTGCATGGAGAAGGCTTGGAGAGGCTCATTTTTAAGTTTTCTCTGGGACTTCCACTGCTCTCCCCTAAATGAGGCAAGTGCTGGCTGAGAGCCCTGCTCCACATGGGAGCTGAGATCTTGTGCTCAAGGGAAAGCTTTCATCAGGCTACCCTAAGAGTATTTTCTTTGCTTTTGAAAAGTAACTGACCTGTGCAGTTTTGTCACTGGTGGTATGGGAAGAAGAGCCCTCCAGGAGGAGAAAACTTTGACAAACTGGACCCAAACAGTCAGCACAGGCTGGTGTTCAGCTGAAGAGCTGCTCTACAGGGTTTCTGACCCCTCACAATCCTACAGTGGCAGGGTGATGACCCAGCAGAGGCCCTCCAGGAGGGAAGTTCTGCTTTGCCATCACACTTGGGCAGCATCTCCTCCAGGGACCATGGGCTCCCTCATGGAGGCAGCTACACCCAAATCACCACAGGATTGCACTGGCCAGGATCTAGGTGCATCCTGGGCGCTCTGGATATTATCAGTGATGCTGCCTGAATGTTTGCTGTAGTTGCAGCCACGGCTGACAGCTTCAGGGGGTGTTCCTCAGAGGAGCTCTCTGTAGATGCAGCAGCAGCAGGATTAAGCATTAGGATTTTGCACACATCCATACATAAGTGGCTGGGCCAAGGGAAGGAGGGAGGGCTGCAGAGCTCTCTGCTGGGGCTGAGGCCTGGGGAAGCACACCAGAGTGTGG